ATGCATCATATCTAAAAGCCCCAACAATCGCAAAGAATATCATTGTAGAATTAGAAACTATTTAAAAAGGTTTCGTTTGGAACAACTTTCTTACTGTTTTTTAATATAATTTTAAGTTAATTTTTTTAATTATAATTTTTTTACTAAAAAATTGTTTTGGAACGAAGTAAAAAAATTGTACAAAATGAAATTTGAATTCTTTATTAATAAGAATTTATGATGAGTTAATAATTATGTCAAATGATTTTATTATTTTCTTATTGGGGGAGAATATATGAGGATATAAAAATGTTCTTATTATTTTTTATTATAATATCACTCAAAATCATTTTTATAAAGATTCAAAATTAAAAAAGAGCTGAACACAAACAAAATATAAACCACTAAATCAATTTTTTTTTATTACGGGAGTGATTCTTCATCTGTATATGCTTGCGATATTGTTTTCTATAGAAAAAAAAAAATATATTGTCTGAATTGTATTCACCTGCTTAATTTTTCTCTATTTTATGTAAATTACGCTAATTACTTTTTCATGATTGCTAAATTTCTAACTTAAGTGCTTCACTAATTCATAGGATTAAGAATTATGAGATCTAACAATTCTGTCACTAAATAAATTTTTATCGTAAAGTATCATTAAAATGATTTCACTATATAAGTGATGATTATAAGAGTTTGTCCCTCTTTTAATTAGGAAACGGTAGGAATATAATGTTATAGGGAACTGAATAAAAAAATTATAAAGTTAGTATGATATAAAAGATATTTGGACATTTGTAGTTTAGTGACAACGATCCGATATTGGTTGTTGAGCGGTAGTGACCCAATAAATTTGATTGGGCTGCGATGATCAGATGATAGTGGTGTTCAGACATCAATGATTTGACAATGAAGGTCCAATAATGACGGTCAGGTGGTAGCAGTCCAATGTTGATGGTGTGATGGTAGCAATGATGTGACAACTTTGATCGACTTCAGGCAATTCGAATATGGTGGTTGGGCAACATTGATCCAACATGGCAATATTGGTGGTGTGACAATTGCAATGGTCTAACAACTTTGGTAGGTCATTGGTTCAACAAGGTTGGTTGGAATGTGGTCCAACGAGGGTGATCGAATAATGGGCTGAAAATGACAAACAAGCAATGAAATGAATGAATGTCTGACAGTGTCAAGTTGCGATTTGATGATGGGGCCATCCAACAACAGTAGTCGGGGTGATGGTTCTCTGATGGAGTTCTAAAAATTTTTAAGTTTTTGAGTTCTCGTGAATCTCCAGTGAATGAATCACTTTTATGTAGAAAGTGTGGGCCTATTTAAAGATTTATACCTTTTAAATATGAAGAAAATCCAAAACTCCATTGATTCCTTAATCATAAAATAGTTGATCTACATTGAAGTGCCTTTCAAAATTAGGGTTGCAAATGAACCAATTGTTCGACAAGGTACTCGTGGTTGGGCTCTATAAGAGCTCATTCATGTTCATTTGATAAAGTAAACGAACGAGTTTGAACACTTTTGATAAATACTAAATAGCTAAATAAAAGAGCTTGAACAACTTCGTGTTCGGTTCGTTTATGTTCATGAACAATATTGTTTAATGCTTGATTAGAGCTCGACTAAGAAGTTCAATTAGAACAATATTAGAACAATATTAGAGTTATATATATTATTCAATTTAATAATTTATTTTTACTAATGCCGTCTAAAATCGTTAATAATTTATTTTTACTTTCCGCATTCGTATAAAATCATGAACAACCCATTCTCTGAATAAATATAAGATGAACCATAGATCGTTTGCTCGTGAATGAGCTCATTTGGTAGCTCCAAAACACTAATTAGATACATTCATGAAAGGACTCATTTGATTGCTCAAGAATACTCATTATATATGTTATTGAACGAACTTGTTTGATAGTTTAAAAAACTTTGTTAGATGTGTTCACGAACTTGATCGATGTAATTGTTTGTCAGAAGACTCGATAAAGCTCGTTTGTTTAAAGCTCGATAAGCATTAAATGAACCTAAGATAAACCAAATATGAACACCCATTAATTTAAACGAATCAAGCTTGAACAAAAAAAAAAAAGCTAAAGTCAAACTCAAACCGAACATGAACAAGATGATAATAAACGAACTCAAACATGAACACGTACATACTCGACACTGCTCGATTCATTTGTAGCCCTAATCAAAATTATGCAATTTTAATGTCGTTGGATTCATCTCATCGAGATGCTAAATTTGAATATAAGCCTGCCAAATTTGAAAGTCATTTGGTCCTCCAATCCAAAGTTTCTAATATGTTTCAAGCTTTGATTTAGGCTTTTTTGGACTCCTATCGAATCATTTCTTGTGTCGTTAGATTCATCACATAAAAAGTCGATCTGTTTGACTATAATTTTGTTGCAATCGGAGTTTGGATAATCCAAAATTTAACTTTTAAGATATTTTCATTTAAAATGAGTAGAGATTTGTGCCTGATAAAGCTCATTGTTTATGATGTATCAAGGATAATGAGTTAAATTTGCTAAAGTTGCTCACTTTTGTTATATTTCTCAAATCATATATAATTTTTTTTTTATGATTTATAAATGTTCAAAAGTTAAACCAGAAAACAGTTTAATAATTAAACAAATTAATAAAATTTTATTTGAGATAATTTTCATATTATTTTATTAAATAAATTTTTAATATAAAAACTTCATAAATAAAATAATAAAAAGTCACCAACCAAGTTGCTTCCTAAATAATAATATGGAGATTCAAATCTCACTCCGCACGTTCTCCCTCAGCAGGGTATTGCCCCCCACTCCTCCAAATTGTTAAATAATCGAGCAAATTAAAATATCTTACTTAGGCCAGAAAATGTGATCCTGTTACAGGAACAATTATTAGGTCAGGTGACCTAACATAGCTCTACGTTCGGACGTCAATAATATGTCGCCACGTGTTCTCATTCTTTACTGCGTGGCCCGATGACCCAAGCTGGATCGGAACCATGGATTGCTATGTTCGCGTATTGCTCGGTATTGCTTGACAATAACGAGAAATACCGCTCTGTGAAGACCAATACCGAGCAATACCGAATTTTTAGCAAAACTTGGTATTGCTCCGTATTGCTCGGTATTGGTCTTCACTTAATGGTATTTCTCGTTATTGTCGAGCAAAATCGACTAATACCGAGTAATACCGAGCTATACCGAGTTTTTAGCAAAACTTGGTATTGGTCTTCACAGAATGGTATTTCTCATTATTGTCGAGCAAATCGACTAATACCTAACAATACGCGAACATAACAATCCTGGGGATGTTCCGGGTCACGGACCACGCTGTAAAAAATAAAAAGACGTGGCACTATTTTACTGGCTTCCGAACGTAGAGCTACGTCAGGTCACCGGACCAAATAAAAGTTCATGTTATAGACTTATCCAACCCTCATATAATTCATATTTGAAAAGTGCATCAAAAATAAAATTATTTAATTACAAATATATTCATTTCACAAATTTTTTCATTCTTATATTATAATACATCAATTTAAAAATTATCATTTATATTTCATTAAAATTGATTATGATGGATATGAAAATTCTTCCACTTTCTTTGAGATAATTATAATACACAAATAATTTAGCTTGATTTTAATTAAAATATTGATCAGAATGTTTTTTAAGAAAATTTTAAATTTTAATTTTCAATCTTATCTCATTACTTTGCTCATTGATTTCAATTTTTATGTTAAATTTATTTTATTTTGAAGGTTGTGGTTGTCGGGTTCAAATAATTGAGAGTTGTGTTAGATAGTCAACACAGCATAGAATTTGTGTAACAATCAATAGAGGTAGATCTCATTTTGGAAAAGCTTTTTTATTGCTTTTTTAAACAATTTTTTAGTATGAAAATTTCTTGAAATATAAATTTTTATACTAAAAATCTGTTTTAGAAAACATTAAGACATTCGCCCCAAACGAACTCTTATTTAGAAAGCACGAGAAAAGAACTTTTCTTATTAGATTTGGGCTTTATTTGGGGGGGATTTCTTTATTGCTTTTTAAAGTTATTTTACATTACAAAATATTTTAGTAAAAATAAATTTTATACTAAAAAGTTATTTCATAAAGGAATAAGGGAGTTATCATAAAGGAAACCTTGATTTCTTTTAATATGGCGAAAGCAGTTTTTTAATAAACAAATTTAAATTTTATTTTTAATAAAAATTAACTTTAAAAATTGTGAGAAAGTTTTTCTAAATAAAGTTTTAAATCAGAATTTGTATATAATAATAAAAAAATTATATGAGGGACCTCAAGTAGTAGGAATGTTATTTTAATTTTGAACGGCTTATTTGGTCCGGTGAACATACGTAGAGCTACGTTCGGCCGACATTGAGATCGCGCCACGTAGCAGACACAACGAGAAATATCGAGCATTACCGGCAATAACGAGAAATACCGCTATGTGAAGATGAATACCGAGCAATACCGAGTTTTTCTAGAAATACCGAGTTTAAAACTCAATATTTTCTAGAAAAACTCAGTATTACTCGATATTGCTCGGTATTGATCTTCACAGAATGATATTTTTCGTTATTGTCAAGTAATACCGAGCAAAAACTAAGTAACTCAGTGATAACAGAACGTAAAACTACGTCCGGTTAGAAGACCTAATGAAAAGCCTAGATCGTGACAGGGTAAATCCAGCGAATGCATTGGCTTATATTATTGCGGTCAACCGCATAGGACAGCAAATATCCGACGTAAAATGTATAGAAAAACTATATTGAACGGTCGATAGGGTCTCCGCATAAAAAGGCTGATTCGATAGGGGGAGGTCTATTTACTTCTTTCTTAGAACCACTGCCGCTGCGACACGTGGAACTAAGCAGTTGAGCTGGGCGTAATAAGGCAAGTCTGTTATGCCGTTCCGTATGAGAGGTAACCTCACCACGCGTAATCAGACTTGCATTTCTCGAGATAAAAGCAACCAAATTCTCGGGCCTTGTCGGTCTCTTCGCGTTCATCTTCTCAATTCTCACTGTCTTCTTCTCGTCGTCGGCGAGGAAACCCTAATCTGATCTTTCGTGCCGATTTGTGTAGGAGAAGATGAGAGAAATTCTCCACATCCAGGGAGGGCAATGTGGTAACCAGATCGGTGCGAAGTTCTGGGAGGTCATTTGTGACGAGCACGGGATCGATCACACCGGCAAGTATAGTGGGGACTCCGAACTTCAACTCGAGCGGATCAACGTCTATTACAATGAGGCGAGCGGTGGGAGGTATGTTCCGAGGGCTGTGCTTATGGATCTGGAGCCGGGGACAATGGATTCGGTGAGATCGGGTCCGTTTGGGCAGATCTTTCGTCCTGATAATTTTGTTTTCGGGCAATCGGGTGCGGGGAATAACTGGGCGAAGGGACACTATACTGAGGGTGCGGAGCTCATTGATTCTGTGTTGGATGTGGTGAGGAAGGAAGCGGAGAATTGTGATTGCCTGCAAGGTATGAGATCTATGCACTCCTGTTTGATTTTGAGTATTTTTTCATAGTAGATTCATCCTTTCCGATTGTGGTTAGGCCGCATTTGATTTATTGAAAGTATAAAATAAGATTTGAAAATTAAGTAATTAGTTAGAAATTAATATTCATTTTTTAAACTCAGCAAATAGAACACCTTTAAATTTTCTCAAATGTAATGATTTTAATTTCACAAAAAATGAATTAAAATAAGATTATCACCTTCAGACAACTAAATGTAGTGGGTTTACTGAATTCTTGATTAGATTTTAGTGTTCTTGTGTGGCTTTGTGATTCTCAGTTTTGTATGATATTTTTCCTGGATCATCGTAATTTTGTTTGCGTGCGCTTTGTTTATGTTTCATTTCGGTATTCGGGTTTTCTAAGGTGTTTTTTCCCCCTCTTTTTTTATTAAATCACATAGGCAGTGTCTGCGAACTGTAAAAGGAAATGTTTAACCTTTGACCAATATTTCTTTTCATCTACCTCTGCATTTTTGAATCTTTATCTGGACATATCGTAGTTATGGAATGATTAGTTTTTTTTATTCTTTCATTAGCTTTATTTTTGTTCTTCTAAACATTTACACTACAGTTAGATATGTACATACATACGTGGTAAATGTTGTCAGGCAAAATCAAGCTTTCTCTTCTGCAAAGTTTTATTCAATATCAATTTATATTTATGAGGGATGATTTTTTATTTAATTATTGAAAGGGAAATATTCTTAAGAACGGGTCCTGGAATTTCCTTTAGCGTTTGTTACGATTGATATTTCTGTTTGCATATATTTGTCCCTTTTGCCTAGTTTTGTAACCCAATGAGCATGTGTAGAATCGTATTAAGTACTGGGTGATATGTTTGATCTGGAATAATTTTAAAGCCGTATTAGTATACAGAATTAATCGTAGTGGAATATGATTTTTCTGGAATTTTAATACGAAATTTTAGCTAATATGCTAGTAAGTGATAGTTGTGAAAAGTGCATGATAGATTAGAAGTAAAATGGCTAGATGTTGTACACAAAGGTTTACTTAAACTAGATCTTTCATCTCATGCAACACTTAGAAATGGTGTACATCCATAAAGCTAATCCTATTTAATTGGAATGATGGAAATGGTGATCATATTGATTATTTTGTTAAAAATGATAGTTGCGGTGATGATGATCATATAGTTTGATCCATGTCATTTTATTCTTTTGTTCTTGTTTGCTTCTTTTAGTTTTATTAAGATATCATGATAGGGTTGTATTATCTAAATGATGTTACTTTGTAGTGAAATTGATTGTGAGGTTTTCTTAATTTTGCATAATAATATGTTGTAGAGTTGGAATCATGTTTAGCTTGTATATCTTCATGCATTTGCACATTATCGCAAGCATTTACTGAAAAGTTGATAGGTTTAGGGCCTTTACTTTAAAGAAAGTATTTTAAATGTTGGATTGCTATCTAGTGAACTCAAATTTAGAAGTGCAAGGGACCATACCTAATTGGATTTATATATTTCAAGTTTTGGTTGAGCCACAAGGTGTCATTTGTAAGGAAGATGCCAATTCTTTAGATAAAAATCAGTCCATTTTCATGAAAGTTTTGGATTTGAATTAGACTTGCATTGTTTCCCAAAAATAATCCTGCTGCAGGCGTCGTACCATTTATCCTTTATGCTTTATCCTTCTTGTAGCTCATTTTTTTGGTTAAGTGTAATTATGTTTGTAGCTCATCATACAACTACTCGTTAAGCTGGTTCTTCCCCACTTGAATTACAATGAGAGTTATATTATCTTGTTAAAACCCTGAATCTTCGTGATCAAGATGCTAATATGCTATGATCAAATATTGTTTTTTAAATGCGACATATACTCGAGTCATATTGTAAAGTATGCATTTGTTGGTTTGATTTACTTTGAGACAATTGTTTACAATATATATTATGTGGATGCCATATACCCATTTAGTAAGAACTTTGAAAGCTATTCCTAAGGTCTCGAGATGGGGATTAGATGAGACTTAATTCAAATTACTGGGTTGAAGGCCAACTCACAAAACATCAAGCATTTTATACTGTTCACACAATTGATGGCTATGTCATATTACCTCCACTGAATATTTTACTATGGTAGTAGAGTTTTATAGCACTAATATTTATACATCAAACACTCCTTATAAAATAAATTGCAAATAATTTTTGGGGCACCCTTCCTCCATTCAACCCCTACAGCGACCTCACTATGCTATGAAGGTCGATCTATGGTTGAGTCTGCTTAACTTTTTTTTTTCATAGAATAAAAATTAGGCTTGACAATTTAAAATTGAATTTGATCATCGCCTACTAACTCATGCTCTTATTTTAGGGCGGACCAAAAAATTTTATAGACCTCTTCTGAAGATTTAAGTAAATATTATATAACCCCTTAGGTTTGAAAAAATTTCAAATGCATCCCGTATGATTTTATTTTCATCCAACATCAAGTAGTTTAATATAAAAATGTGTCATTTTCCCTTGATTAAATTGATAGAAAGGGATATTTGATATTTATCTGATAAAACCTTCATAAAATTCAAAATAACATATATTAAAAAATATATCTGAGATGTACGAGAGCAACAAATTCACCTTTATCATATTTTGAAGGGGTACAGGAGCCATTATTAATATTAAATTAATGAAATTTGAATGGAAAGGATAAACATCAATGTGCTATATAATATTTATCTGAACCTGGGAGAGTTGTATGATAATTACCCTATTACTAGTTATGCATTATTTAACTAGTTTGTTTGCACTTATTAGCTAATAACTTGCATGAATTCAACCCTAGATTTGTTATCGTTAGCTGGAAATTTTATGGTTCAACCTTTATTTGTTGTATCTGTTACAAATTTCAGTACATCTAAAGCTATAGGGTGAGCATATATCAGCTAAATGGCAATTGGCAACAAATATTTTGCCAAACATGTGTTAAGAATAGGTAAAAACAGAAAAGGCTGCTTTTTCCAAGGTCATTTATATTTTAGATTATTTTTACAAGGGTTCAAAAGGATCAGACATGTTCCTACTTAACCAAGTAAAATCAGGTATCATATTTGTGTTTCTTACTTTCTTTTGATGTTTTAATGGTGGTTAATAACCACATGGAGTGTACTTTATGCTTGGCATTTTTGTGGGGAATGATTGTTTGTCATAGAAATTAATTGTTACGAGTCTTCAATTGTATGCACCACCCTATACTCAGATTAATTATTCTGTGCGGACGCCGAACGCCTTTCAGAGACCAATCAGAATGCGCCACATCACCCCTTCGCTCGGTACCGCGGGTCGGTATCGCTAACGTGGTGCATCTGGTTGCTCTCCGAATGTAGAGCTGCATCCGGCCTCCGCACATAATAATTTCTCCTATGCGCATTATACATCATAGATAAAATAGTTTGGTTTAGTTTTCTAATGATTGTTTTCTTTATATCCGTGCCTGCAGAGCGCTTCTGTCATTGTCTTTTGTTTCACATTCAATAGTGTATCCCTCCTGATAAACTAGTTGAGATTATAGAAATCATTGAGATGCTATTATTTATAACAATGTCTATTCAGTTTATCATTGTTTTTATGGAAGGACTATTGGTTCATGTTATTGGTTTTCTCGTGGTATGAACTGTGAACTTTGCTAATGATTATAACTTGCAAAAATACAGTTTTGTATTTTTTCTGATTACTTCATTCTAATTTTGCGTAGGTTTCCAAGTATGTCATTCTTTGGGTGGAGGAACGGGATCCGGCATGGGTACCCTTCTCATTTCAAAGATCAGAGAGGAGTACCCTGACCGCATGATGCTGACCTTCTCTGTTTTCCCATCTCCCAAGGTTTCTGATACCGTTGTGGAGCCATACAATGCCACTCTCTCAGTTCACCAGCTTGTTGAAAATGCCGACGAGTGCATGGTCCTCGACAATGAAGCCCTCTACGATATCTGTTTCCGCACTCTCAAGCTGGCTACCCCTACATGTCAGTTGAAACTTCACTCTTTTCTTATTTTATTTTATTTTTGCACTTAATGATAAGCATATACAATCTGCACATGTGGTCATTATTATCCATGAAGTGATAGGATTCATATCCTTGCTGATTATTAAGATTCTAGGTTCACTTTGTTAAGAGTTAAGACTCTCGTATGACCCACCGCGGCTTAGCTCAGGTGGGGGGAGCTCGGCCGGGCAAAGCCAAGTCTCAGGCTCGAATCCCTTGGGCGGCCGTGACAGCCTTAAGTATTGGTTCGGATAAATGGTGTGGATTGCCTGTTAGGTCGACCGGGGGTAAAAAAAGACTCTGGTATGGAAGTACGAGCTACTCTATAGGGTAGTTTGTATATTTATGAAGTCATAGAGATGGTGCATTTGCATAATCAAAATTTATCACATTTTCCATATAAATGAAAACTATTTTTTGACAAGTTAAACAAGAAACAGGTGGATCCAAACTAATCCAACCAAAATTGGGAAATAAGTACTTGAACACGCGGAGGCAACTTCTCTGTATTCCCACCCAAAAATAGTTGGTACTTGCAAGTGCAGTCTGAATGCATAATGCATTTACTTATCAAGCTATTTATTTTCTAACTGCTTTCCCTTGTGCTGTTATGCTCTCATTCCAGTTGGTGATCTCAATCACCTCATCTCGGCTACCATGAGTGGCGTCACTTGCTGCCTGCGTTTCCCCGGACAGCTGAATTCCGACCTCCGGAAGCTCGCCGTCAACTTGATCCCCTTCCCTCGCCTCCACTTCTTCATGGTCGGCTTTGCTCCCCTGACATCTAGAGGATCGCAGCAATACCGCGCCCTCACCGTCCCTGAGTTGACTCAGCAGATGTGGGATTCCAAGAACATGATGTGTGCAGCCGATCCACGCCATGGCCGTTACCTCACAGCCTCCGCCATGTTCCGCGGGAAGATGAGCACCAAAGAGGTGGACGAGCAAATGATTAACGTTCAGAACAAGAACTCTTCCTACTTCGTCGAGTGGATCCCCAACAACGTCAAGTCCAGCGTGTGCGACATCCCGCCCAAGGGACTTAAGATGGCTTCCACCTTCATTGGGAATTCAACTTCCATTCAGGAGATGTTCAGGAGAGTGAGCGAACAGTTCACTGCAATGTTCAGGAGGAAAGCTTTCTTGCACTGGTACACTGGCGAGGGCATGGATGAGATGGAGTTCACCGAAGCCGAGAGCAACATGAATGATCTGGTGGCCGAGTATCAGCAATACCAGGATGCCACTGCGGAGGAAGACTACGAGGAGGAGGAGGAAGAAGATGAAGTGGAAGCTTGAGCTTTACTACAGATCTCAACTTCTTTGCGATCATTTTCATCTAATTTGTTTCTAGTGTGATTGGAGAAGGGTTTGGGATATCTTTCTAATATCTGTAGGATCTATAAATTCTGTGCTGGTTTGGTTAACTTTTCAGTTTGACGTTGAAATGGTCTATGTATTTCGGGTGGCTCATGGCCCAGGGCATTGTCATTTGCGTTAACTCTGTTGCTCTGTGAATTCTTCTGGGCTATTTTCGATTTGAAAATGTTGTGTGTGTGTTTTTGCTTGTGGCATGATCCATTTGGCCTACCTGAGCTGATGACCATTGAAGAGCTGTTTAAGGGCTTTACTCGTTAAGAAGTCGCCATATTTTATGATTATTAACTGTTCTTCATTTTCTTCAACTAGCGTACATACAAAAGCACAAAAATTTAGTTCCATTAGTTTTCAAATTAAAGCTAAGTTTCAAGATAGACTTGGTAGAGATTTCTATGCAAGTTTAATAATTCTAAATTTATCATAGTATGAATTTGTTCCAATATATTACTTAATTCCAACAACATTTAGAAACATAAAAATGTTGAACAGTGCTCTAGAATCAAGGGTAATGATATAGGTTGAATGGAGTGTTTTGAATTTTCTCCAAATTTATGAGAAAAGTAACCCGAAGTTTATAAATATATCCATACTATTTGCATGCAAGGCAACTACAAGCTTGGACTTGGGCTTGACCAAGATAGCTCAAAGGCTCTAAGAAACACAAAGCTCCACTCGAGCACCATTGTCAAATTACCATCCGATTGTTACTATTGGACCACCACCCAACTATCGCCGCCCAAACACCGGCATAGGACCGTCACCCAACTAACTCCCTTCAAACCATGCCCAAAAGCCACTGTTCTATCACTATTGTCCGTATATCACCCAACCACCACCCGATTGTCGTCACTTGACCAACATTGCCAAGTTATCATCTTCACACAATGGTCTTCTAACCTTTAAATATTGACTATGGTACTCTGACCAATACCTCTTGAATATTATCCTAAAACTGTCGTCACCTGATTACAATCATTTAACCTACATTCTTTAATTATGATCCTCCAATTGATGTGACCCGAATATGATTTCCCAGCCATCACTGCCTAACTACGGATCTCCAACCTTCATCCCAGCTATGATCATCATCACCTTATTATAGTACTCCAATAGTCGTTACCCCACTATGATCCTCCAAACATCATTGCCCCAACAATCCTCCAATCATCATCGTCTAACTATAGTCATTTAAATACTGCAGCCCAACTACGGTCCTCCAATCGTCATTTCCCACTAGGGTCCTCCGACCACCATCGCGTAATTATAATTCGCTAACTTTTGTCACCCAATACTGATCCTCCAACCTCCATCACTCGCATAAGGTCATCTAATCACCATCGCCTATACTATGGTCTTCTATCCTTCATCACCTAACTAAGTCCTCTAACCTACAATCTTATATCCATTATTGCCTAGCTACTTTGACACCTACTAACTTCAACACCTATCGTCACTAATAATATTAATGTATAATATCATTTATAAGGTTGATGCATGACATCGACAACAACTCTCACTTTTGACATCTGCTTCAGGATTTATGCTGGACTTCTTTGTTTCTGATCTCCTCTTCTCAAAGGAGTACAATCAAATAAATAAGCATATGTTATCTTAAATACATCTCCGATGCCACAGTGCTCTTCCAATTTCAATAATATAATTTGTTATATACATTGTATGTTTACTACATTGAATAAGTGCCATTTTTTGAGGAAGGACGTTATCTAGAACCAATGACTAACATTAGTAAAATCTTTATAACTAGGTCAAGCCCCGTGATTTTTCTCTTTCTTGAGTTTTCACATAAGATTTATAATCTCTTTTATAATTCATACACACCATTCTTATATGTATGTGTGTTGGATCTTTCGTGCAAATATTAATACAAAAAACTCTATCTCTTTACCACTGTAAATATTACGGCACGCAACACACATATAGATATATGTGTATATAAATTTAGGTATCTAAGAGAATGGAGAATATCACAGTAAGCAACTTACAATCACTAAGATTGTTCAGATGCCACCATGCCAATAATTTTATTGAATGAGAGTAAAAAACATTGAAAAATGAGATAAATGATTGCATATTCATAATGATTATTTAATTTCATTGAAATGAGATTTTGATCAATAAAAATAATGATATTATTTGTATTTTTTTTTCATTAGAAATTTATTTTAGGGCTTCTCAAATTAATAGAAAAAATGGTGTTAGATAATATAACATTAAATAAAATTTATTTGAAAGTTTCTTCCTTGATTAAGCTTAAGATTGGATTAATTACAAACCCTTCAAAATAACTCATCTTCATTATAGTGAAAACTTTAGTGGAAAAGACACAAAGCAGACAAATTCTGCAAGTTTTGTTAGTTTTCTTTTTCCTTCATGTATTTGCTCTCCACAATTTGAATTATGTCGCAAATTAATTTTCTGTTGGAGAAGTAAAACCACGTAGCGAAACAAGAGAAGAAATTAAAAATGCAGTGGAAAAGAACACCAATATTTAATAAGGAAAAACTTCAAATCATAAAAATAAAAAATAAAAATCATAGAGCCACACTATACCAAGCAATTTACATTAAAAATTAGGAGAAATTGTATATATCTCTCTTCTCTCACTCTCTCCTTGTCTCTCTTTACTCTTGCACTGTTATCTAATAAAGCTGACAAAGAGATGCACATAAAACCCCTACAGAGACTAAGCCCTTCAAGTTAAATATGAAAAACAAAAATGAAAATTGCAAAACCCGACTCACAGAGCCATAGCGCCTAGTCTTAAGCATCACTACGCTTTGCTTTCTATCTCCGAATGTAACATTTGTACAGTATTGTAGCGCTCGAGTATACATCAACACAATGTTGTATGATTGTACGATAAAAAAATGTTCAACGTCAAAGCCCCCGAACCCAAGTAGGGGGAGGACCCCCCGGCGAGCTTGACAAATGAAATTGAGATTTGAGGCAATGATATAACATGATTGATCGACACAATCAAATTTCACACAGCACGAACATTTTCAATAGTAAATATTGATACCTTGTAATAAATATAGAAGAAAAAAGTATGAATTCCCTGTATATTTTTCGATATTTAACTTTTATTTTTAAATGTTAACTTCTTAAGATCAAAAATTTTGAAAGTTATGCATACTGCCTTTTATATTATGCTTCAGTGGAAACAGAAGATTAGCCTCCCGAAAGAAAATTGAAGAAGACATAGTTGTCTAAGGACCTCATCACTGTGGAAAGTATAAGCCTTGTAAGAAAAACAAAGATAAATATTTCTTACTTGAAAAAAAAAGAGTAAGAGTCCTACCATTTGTCAGCACCTGCAACCTTCAATCTCTTACCAAGAAATCTCTTTCTTTTTTTTTTGAAAGGTTAGGGGCTTCGAATGTGAGCCTCGCGGGAGGAATTCCTTCGCATCAACAGGGCTGTACGAGCGAGCTCGAAATCTCTATTCAAAAAATAGTGATTTCATGTTCAGCCTTTTTATTGACTTCAACACCCACCATCATTAACAATGTCAATAAACGATTTTATAATACTACCAATATAAGTCTATGATATCTTGAAGACAACTCTCATGCCACAAAGTTCTTCCAAGTTCTTTCAACTTCAACCATATAATATGTTTGATACATTTTATATTTACTACATTGAATAGGTGTCTTCTCTTGGAGAATTCATTCTGTGTAGAGACCGAATGCAGCTTTACGTCCGGAGCAGAATCAGGTGCATCCACGTCAGCGATAACGAGCCACGGTACATAGTGTAGGGATGATGTGGCGTATTCTGGTTGGCCTCCGAACGACATTCGACATCCATACAGAATAATTAATCCTTCACTTGAGGAATATCATTATTTATAAACGATGATAAGTACTAGTTGAATCATTTTAACTTAGTCGGGGCTTCTTAGTTTTTCTCTTTTCTAAATTTTCACATAAAATTTCTCGTGTCTCTTATAATTCTTGCACTCCCCCTTTTTTTTTTATTGCACTTCATTCTTATTTACATACGAATTTTATTTATTTTAGTGCTTCTAAAATTAATAGAACAAATGGAGTTAGATAATATAACATAACAAAAAAATTTATCTGTATGTTGATTTATTTCCTTTGCTTTCCTTCAGTTCAAACAAATCCAAAATTGACTTTTTTTAAAAAATTATAAGATCGAAATCACTGATTAGATCTCTTCTATATTATTTCTTCAGCAGAAGTTATTTATTATATTTCCTTGCAAATCAAGAAGCTGAAACAGTCTCACTTACTCCACTCCTCACTTCTTCTTCATTATTAATACATGTAGCAATTAAAACAGAGATCATTAATTAAGCTTAAGATTGGATTAATTCCAAGCTAAAGGCCCTAAACAAAATTAACAGTAAATTGGATGTATAATTAAGTAATGATCTGCATAAGAACAGTAGGGAAGAAATTTTTCTAAAATTTTAATGAAAACTATATAGAAATTGATTAAAAATGAAGATAGCATGAAACAACAGAACATGTGTAAGAAGATCTCCTCAAGGAAAAACAGCTAATCTAATTAGCAAACACTTTAAAAGGCATAATTAAGGCTTAAGATCTTCAAATCATAATATGAATCATATTTGGATCATATTCAAAATAAGCTTGCAATTTTATTATTTTTCTAATTTTGATTGAACTGACTTTATCTGAATGCAAGCACTCAATTTTAGTGATTGAATGCTGGTTAAGGCTATATTTGAGATAGCTTTCTTATTAATTTATGTTTTTGATCGCAACCATAGTTTCTATTTGACTACTCTTTTTTCCTACTTTCAAGAAATTTTTATGCTATGAAGCTGCTTTTTACCGTAGCTTTCAGAAAAGCTACTTTCCGCACAATAACTTTATAGCAATGTTTACAAAACTCTACGGAGGCCCCAAACGAACCCTAAATTTGATGTAATGCCACAATAAAATTTTATTTAATTTAAATAATCAAATATATATATCTAATTATTCATTCAGTAGGGTCTGATTTTGCATAAATGGATCATGCCTTCATCATTTGGAATTATAAATTATTCCGCACTCCTACAATTTTTCACAATATAAAATTAGACAAAAATTATATATTTATCTTTTAAATATTCCATCATACATATATATATATATATATATATATATATATAGGGTCCAAATGAAAATCAACAGCTTAAATGTCTACACCTTAAAACTAGAAATTTCAAAAACTAATAAACTCTGCAATCTTTTGTTCATCAATAAAAAATGTTCATAATTTTTGCCAATTGAAGAGTCCAACACTATGATGGCATTGTTTTTTATTTTTTACACTAATAATTACTCAATCTGAATCATATTTGAAGAGTTCATATTTTTTTATCAATGCATACTTGCAAGTAAAACAATAGAAGATTCCACAGTTTTAATAGCAATATACTCAGCCTTCAACATCTTAAACTCTTCTTCTCAAAAAACTCTATAAAGGAAAAATATCCCCAACACCTCAGAGCCATAGCAAATCAGTTCACAAAAGAAGAAAAAAAATGAACTCTCCCCTCTCACTTTCCATGCCTCCTCTCCTCTCCCTCCTCTTCGTCCTCTTCCTCTTCCTCTCACCCTTCCCTACCCATTCCCTCAACCCAAACACCTTCACTTCAGCCCAACAATCCTTCCTTCAATGTCTCAACTCCTCCTTCCCCTCCAATCTCATCTTCACCCCAACCAACAAAAACTACACAAACCTTCTCTTCTCCTCCATCCAAAACCTTAGGACTCTAACCAACTCTCCCAAACCTCTCCTCATCCTCACCCCAACTCAAGAATCCCACATCCAATCCTCTATTTCATGCTCAAACACCCTCAACATCCTCTTAAGAATTCGCAGCGGCGGCCATGACTATGAAGGCCTCTCATACGCGTCAACCATGAGCGATTTCTTCGTAATCATCGACCTCCAAAAGCTCAACTCGATAACAATTGATTCATCAGTGAGCACAGCTTGGGTACAGGCTGGTGCTATTTTAGGTGAAGTTTATTATGCCATTGCTATGAAGAGTAGAGTTGTTGGATTTCCTGCTGGCTCCTGTCCTACTGTGGGAGTTGGAGGTCATTTCAGTGGTGGAGGATTGAGCACTATTATGAGAGCTTATGGTATTGCTATTGATAATATCATTGATGCTAGAATTGTGAATGCAAAGGGTGAAGTTCTTGATAGAGAAGCCATGGGTGAAGATCTTTTCTGGGCTTTGAGAGGTGGAGGAGGAGCTAGCTTTGGAGTCATATTGTCTTATAAGATAAAACTTGTTCAAGTTCCACCTAAGGTGAGATGCAAATAATTTCTTGACCAAGTCTAAATTTTCTCTTTGAATACTATTTTGATCGTTCCTTTTGTTTTTTCAATTGTGTTGTTGAGATGGACTCTTAGCTTTCTAGAAATAAGTTTAATTTTTTTACTAAAAAACAGTAAGAAAGCCATCCCAAACGAAGCCTTAGTCTTACATCATTTAATAATTAAATTTATCAAACAGGTCACAATCTTCACCATTTCAAAAACACTGGAAGAAGGTGCAACAAAGCTAGTCAGCAAGTTTCAAAACATAGCTTACAACCTCGATAAAAGATTGTTTCTGCAATCAATCTTACAGCCAGTGAATGAAAACAGCCCAAATAAGACAATTCAAGCTACTTTCAGCTCCTTGTTCCTTGGTCAAAAAGAAGAACTTGTTTCAATCTTAAAGCAAAGCTTTCCAGAGCTGGAATTGAAGGAAACAGACTGTACTGAAATGAGCTGGATTGAATCAGTTTTGAACTTTGCTGGTTACTCTTCAGATTCTCCTCTGAATGTTCTGCTCAACAGAAAGCCATGGTCAAACTCTACATCATTCAAGAACAAGTCTGATCTTCTAACAAAGCCAATAACTGAGGAAGAATGGAATGAGATCTTCAGATTTCTCCTCAAAGGGAATCTATGGTTTATGCTGATTATCGATCCTTTAGGTGGAATGGTAGCTGAAGTCTCTGAAACTGAGACACCATTTCCTCACAGAAAGGGAAGCTTGTATGATGTCCAGTATATTACTCAATGGACTGAAGAGGGGATAGAAACAACACAGAAGAATTTGAAATGGATAAGGAAGTTCTATGAGTTTATGACTGCTTATGTTTCAAGAAATCCAAGAGGTGCTTATCTGAATTACAGAGATTTGGATCTGGGAGTTAATGGAGAAGGGAACACAAGCTATGTGAAGGCTAGTGTTTGGGGTGAAAAGTACTTTAAAGGAAACTTCAGGAGACTGGCACAAGTGAAGAGTGAGGTTGATCCAGGCAACTTGTTCAGATATGAACAAAGCATTCCTCTACTCTTCTGATTCAAAACTTGTGATCATTGCAATAAAGAAGCATATGAGTTCTTATTATATATTATATGTAAGAGGAATATGATTATGAAGAATTTGTGGGTCAATTCATATCAAATTTTTTACAATACAAAATAGAAATATTTTTAAATTTTGGTAATTTTTTTATTTAGGTTAAATATAAAATTATCACTTTAGAAATCAAATATTTAACTCAATTATATTTTATTTAGTGCATTAATTGAAAAAAAAATTAATATTCCGATTGGCTGGATTCAATCGCTCACGCTATCTTTACATTTGGAGCTGTTCAAAGGAAATCTATATTTGTATTTTATGGTTCTTCACATTTATTTTCTTTTTTTTCTCTAATTTTTAGAAAAGAAAGACTGTGAATTTTATTTTAATTAATTCACAAAATATTTTAAAAAAAATTATAGGAACAAAGATGTTAAATTAATTCACCCATCAATATCTCTTAAAAAGTCTATGCCAATGTTTTAATGTCAAAATTGACAATTAAAATTGTTAATGTCCACATTTTTATTAAAGAAATTAATAAATAGTAAAAAAATATATTAGCACGGCGCAATTTGTCCATTTGCAAGCAAATACAAAAATGTCCGTAACACAATTTGCAGCACGGCTTTCTTAATAATAAAGAATCCTTTTAATATAAAATTTTTAATTTTATTTCAAAAAAAATTATTTTAAAAAACAGTCCCAAATAAAGTCTTAACTGACATCAAATAATATTTGTATAACAAAAATAAGATAATCAAATGTTTTAGATATTAATGGGACTGTTTCATAACTCATTAGATAAATTAAGACTTCATTTGTTAAAATTTTCTTACTCTTTTTTAAAACAATTTTTTAATAAAATAAAATTAATTTAAAAACTCATTATACTAAAAAGCTGAAAATAAAAATAAAATTATCCAAAATAAAGCCTAAGCTAGATTGAATGGAATATATTTATGATTTTTAGGCTAAAAATTGTAAATGCCCAAAATCAATTATTATTATTGGTTGGGTAAATGAGATGAGCTTTGAAAGCTACATGCAAAAAGACTGTATTGAGTTTTACTAAACATGCAAGAAACATTCAAAGAGACAAATCATTATATTGCAGTGATCTTTACAAAAAATAATAGTTAAATAAAAATTATGACTACAATCTCAAAAGCAAAACAATAAAAAAGCTATGTCAAACAAAGTCTAAATCTTCGTTTAAGACAGCTTTCTTACTGCTTCTTAAAGCAACTATCTAATATAAAAAAATTTAATTTTTATACTAGAAATCTGTTTTAAAAAACAATAAGAAAGCCGTCCCAAACAAAGTCTAAATCCGGAGAAATTATTTTGTGTGTACACCAAATCGTTCGGAGGCAAATCTGAATGTGCCACGCACCCGATACACAGCAAAAAAAGCAACTAAAGCGCAACTAAAGCGCAACCAAAGCGCAACTAAAGCGCAACCAAAGCGCAACCAAAGCGCAACTAAAGCGCAACCAAAGCGCAACCAAAGCGCAACTAAAGCGCAACTAAAGCGCAACCAAAGCGCAACTAAAGCGCAACCAAAGCGCAACTAAAGCGCAACCAAAGCGCAACTAAAGCGCAAGTCAAAAAGCGCAACTAAAGCGCAAGGTGACGCGGCAAATTTTTATTGGCTGTCCGAACTTATCTTTTGGCTCCGGTCACCTGACCCAATAATTTGCCCTTCTTATAACTTCTTAAAGAAGCTATCTAGTATAAAAAATACAATTTTTATACTAAAAATCTGTTTTAAGAAACAATAAGAAAGTCGTCCCAAACAAAGTCTAAATCTGGAGAAATTATTCTGTGCGGACACCAGATCATTCGGAGGCAAATCTGAATGCGCCACACCTGATACACAGCAAAAAATTAACATGACGCATCCTGATTCATCTCCGAACAGCATCAGGTGTCCGCACATAATACTTTTTCCTAAATCTGTTAAGTTGAAGCCCCATGTTATAATATGGATTTCTATGAAAGTAAACATCATTAGAATTGAACAACTGACTCATACAGAATACTATTTCTGTGCCCAAATATCTTCAGTTGAAAGTTGTCAACTACTACAAAATTTTACAGAGCTATAGATTTGGGAAGTAAGAAAAACAATATCCTACACAACTGCCATTTGTCAAGGAGAACTGCTATTTTGTCAGAATTTGAACGTCCGAAACCTCTGCTCTAAAAGGATTGCTACTCAATATAAGAAAAATTACATACATCGGCATTAACTCTGAAGTCGGACAGTCAAAATCGGACAAAACGGTATTTTGGTTTGGTGGATAGTGCACATAGAAGTTTCAGAGATAATGAATACTTCTATCAAGCTGGTTATTTGCAAAGAAAATTGGAAGAATTATCAATGTCATGGAACAAACCAGTGATCCTGCAGAAAAGCCATATATGATCACATTAGGTTCAGTATAGATGTCATAAATAAATAAATAATCATAGTGAGTTTAAAATCCACGCTATGTTAAATAGATTAAGGTTTTATTTGGGACAGCTTTTTTACTGCTTAAAGTAACTTTTGGGAACAAAAATTGAAAGTTGTTTTAAAAAGCAATAAGAAAGACGTCCCAAATGGGCCGCAAGTTTCATAGAAATCGATTTGAAGCTTGAAATTGTAGAGTGCTACAAAAAAGCATATTGGGAGAGAAACATGATATAGAAGATGGTTTATTAAAAAAAAAAAAACAGACCGGCGATGTTGATTCAAATGAACCAGGCCGATTGTAAGAGAAACATGATGTAAAAGCTAATTTATTTTTAAAAAAAACAAATCAGCTATGTGTGAATTAGATAAATGAATTGCAAACTTTGAGTAGGGTTATGTACCTACATAAAAGTAAAAATTAATCAAATAATCTGAAAAGTACTAACAAGTAATGGGATCGAGCTACAGTAAAGAGGAATATGCGAAAAGTTTAAATAAGATTAATTACCGTGAAAATCTCATATGTATGCTTCTATAGGTAATCAACCAAAGAAGGTGGAGTTTAAGTATTAAGGAGGCAAGGCAACCAATAGTTGAATTGAGTATTCATATTTCAAAATTATAAGTGTAACGGTACTATTTCTTCAAAATTAAATGAATCAATTCATATAGATTCAATATACCATTATTATAAGTTCATTTATGATTATCCCTACAATAGAAAGGATTGATAATGTGAAATGAATGATATAATCTTCTTGTGAGGCTTCAATTATTTATCTCGTCTCATATTGTCATTTTGAAAAGATAGTAAATGATATAGAAAATACAAATAAAATAAATTACCAAAAAAATGTTTGCATGTTCATGATGGTTGATGGAGTTCATCCCCCCCATTAAAAACTAACTAGGGATGCTAATATACGAGCACATGAAATAATTGCAACTTCACAACTCTGGAAAAAAATATTGTTATTAAAGAACCAGTCAATGGTACAGCTGCATGGCGGTGTTATGATGGATGTATTTTGTAACAATGACGCAGAAAAGATATTGTATGATATGGTCATCTTCTAATTCATTTTATTATTGAACTAATGAAATGCTTCAAAAACAATTATATTGTTATCTTTTAGTAATATATAATATTAAAATATTTGATATTGATTCATCTATTTGACTAAGCATGCATGTTATTTTCAAAGTTCTTTTATATTATTGTAACTAAGAGATGATGTTTTCGAATATTTCTTTTAAATTTATTATTTAAGTAGTGGTGCTTAAATTTTCATCCGCCATACGTTTCTACTTAGTAATCCAAGCTTATGAGTTTGATCGTGACAAAAGTGATATCAAGAACAAGGTTAGATTAAATAATACTAATCATAATGAAATAGCCATTAAGAGGATTTATAAAATTTATTCAGGTTGATAACATTAGTTTAATTCTAATTAAATAATATTGTAACATTATTTTATATATCTCAAGCCCTAGATAACAAAGATGAAGTAAGGCATGAAAAGAATACCACCAAATGTTAATATTAATAGTAATGCTCTCATTCAAATGATGATAGCAGTGCCCTAAATGATCCAAAATTCAAAGTTCCAACCTAGTGGAAAAAATAATATCATCTCAATGGACAATTACTTGAAGTTATTCTAGGATATGCAACCAGCATAATTTGAGTTGAAGTACCGATTGAAATAGAAAATTGGCTCATTCATATTAAGAAGATATATTAAATGGCGTGTTTTGTCCCGATGAAAGGAAGGTATCGCTTGCTATTTCGCATTGGATGAAGAAGCAAATAGGTGGTGAAGAGGGCAACATCAAAATGAGTTTGAAGACCCAACCAGTGTACAAATTTAATGAGAATTTGCGGAAACTTTTAGGAAATGGTTTGTGCCTCTTTCTACGAGAAGGCAAATACAATATATGTTTACGAAGTCACTAAGTTTCAAATTTATGAAGTTAGTGCAAAAAGATAGATCCATGATGCAATACAACGTAGAAGTTACGACGCTATCAAGGTATACGCCACAGAAAATCTATAATGGAAAAGTGTCAGATTTTTATCAAGACAGAGATGAGAACAAACAACCTTTAGCTCTTTTAAAGATTGCTAATTATTATATAGCCAGGAGAGTCAAACAAGATTTCCAGGGTGCCCAGAGGAGGCATGACTTCAAAAAAAGGAAAAATGCTGAAGGAATACAAAGTTCATGGATTTGTCAGTTTGTATAGGTTTTTCAATCTAGAAATTCTGCTTGGATGGGCAAAGACCTTATGCTTGGGGTAATAGTCCACCTCGGGCATGACACATACCGCCTCCAAGCTACACACTTCCAAACAAAATGTGCATGAAAGAGAAGTGGCTATGGCCATGCCTACTAGCCTAATAGCAATGTGGCATGACTATTGGGAAGATCACCCCCGCTTGGCCAAATGATTCATAATGTTCAGGCTAATGATTTATTTGAAAAATTAAAGACTTCAACTTTTCTGTTGATTTGTTGCCTTTAATGTTAACGTTATTATTAGTTTCCTTCTAACATATTCATTATAGTCTTTTAGAACTGTTAATCTCTCCAAGCCATGATATTAACATATCTGCATGTGCATAGTGTTTTAACCAGATCATTACAAGCCTCCAAAAGTTGTCTTACGTAACTTTTTGCTAATTACTTTTTTCTACATAAATCAAAAACAATAGACCTGATATAATAACAGATGACAGATTTGGCTTGAAGCCAAATCCGAACAACACTCTAACTCCCACACCCTAAATTGTCCAAAACAAGCCTCCAAAAGTCAATCACATTACTTACATTCAAGCCATAATGCGTGGCATGTTAATCTGACGATGAATGGCGGAAAAATGTTTTATGGTGCAGAATGTTGGCCATTAAAAGAGAAGCATAAAATTAAGTTAAGTGTTGCAGAGATGATGATGCTCAGGTGGATGAGTGGCTCTACTCTTTAAGATAAAATATGATGAAATGAGTATATTCGTAAAAAGATTGGAGTAGCTCTAGTAGAAGATAAGATCAGAGAGAGACACCTTAGATGGTTTGGCCATATAAAACGTCAGCCTTCCGATGACCCGTTTAGGAGAGTAGATGTATTAGATTTGACCTATATTAAGAAATGTAGAGGTAGACCTAAAAAAACCTAGTTATAATTAAAGTATTATAAATGACATTTTTATTATATTTAAATGAGAATTTGACTATTAACATGACACAAGGGAGAAAAATAATTTATGTTGGCGACTCCGCATAGTGGGATTAAGGCTTGATGTTTTCATTGTTGTTGTTGATGAATGGCGGAAGCCTTGCTATGCATTTATATCATTAAGATAGGGCAAGCACCTGCTCAAGCTCTTATGAAATTCAATCAGTCATTAACACATCCTCTACTAGTCCAATGGTCCAATCCACAATTAAAGAACCAACTCAAGTTCCTTGCTTGATAAAATTGGCAATCCAAACACCTATTCAAGCTCATTGTTTGATTCAAATTGACATCAAAACCTCCTCTCCCACTCCACTTGTGCAATATCTACTACTTGCAATTTTTGAAAATAATCCTATCTTGCTCAAGCTGACTCTAATCACTCCAAAATTTACAAGAACAAAGAATGATTTTCAGCGCCATGGTCATATATAGTTTATTGGAAGAAAGCGTGGCTCAACAATCGCCCATCTACTGCAATTTAACCAATATTTGCACCTAGATGCTATGACTTCAAGATTCTACATGGGTTTCTTATGTGGCTTTATCCTGTTTTATTATGTGTTTTGACCTAAAGGGCAAGGACAATTTTGAAACGGTTAGTAATGTTAGGATCAACTAGCGTAGTGGGTGTTAGTGATCATAGGTTTATAATAGGTATTACACTATTTAATAAGTAATTAAGGTGTCGATTGAGTCCTTATGATGTTATAAGCATCTCCTCTTTTGAATGCTCCTTATTTGTTGTGATAATCTCTCCTCTTCGTCAATCTCCTAGTTTATGGATTATTCGCGAACTTGAAATCATCATTTATCATTACAATCTTCCAAGGTCATATCCGATGAGGAGAAAAGAGAATACGGGCAATTTCATCTAATATAACTAAATGGATATCCAATTGTGACAAGAAAGTCATCCCAGATGAGTTAACAAGTTATAAGAGCATGCACAAATGAACCAGAATGTAGACTAGAAACAGAAGGGGACTAGGCGGCCAATTGCAAAATTCTCAAGAATATATTAGAGCTGAGGAGTCAATCCATGAGGCCAACATCACAGCTGATTCACTTGAAATTAGTTTCTAGTATAAACATTCTACACAAGACATAAATAGCACAGCGAAGTCCAAGAAAATTAAAATGAATAGAGCCTTAAAAAGGTACTTGAAACTTTGTTTGATGGGAGAGATGGAAATAAAGAGGCAATTAGAAATTGTGTGTTTTTTTTTTTTTTTTTATGCATTAGCAGTTTTACTAGGATATGGAAAAATTTCAATAACTATCAAATTCCTTACCGATCATATGACAATTGAGCATCCCCAACGCGCCCAATAACTTTGTTTCGTACCTTCCTTATAGATACCTACATTAGGAAAGAATAGCAAAAGATAGATTGATATATCAAAGATTCTGTTTAATCTACAATGAAACAATACATACCCACACACGATTAAGGGATCCATTTTCATCTCGAGCACGATGAATGACTATGCCATTGTCACATTTATTTATGAAATGTGCACTCCCACTAATATCATACAGATTTGGCGGATTGCCTCCCCAGTTTTGTAGCTGTTAATTAATATAGTAAAAATCAATGAAATAGAATAACCCACAAAGTTGATGATCATTGACATACCTGTCTTGGATGAGCTACAAACCAGACATGACAAGAATGGTGATGGGCAAATCTCTTGATCATAGTAAGCATGCGACTAACATACTCTGTTTCTGTCCTGATAGAAATTCAATGAAATCATCAAAATATAAAAGAAAATCCCAATTCAGCTTTTTATTAAACTAGAAATACTAGAATCTGGAAGAAAAACTACTCCAGCAAACAAAACCAGGAGGAAGCCTGGAAAATTATACAAGAACAAAATCAAAGGGCAGCACATAGCCAAGATAAGAACACATAGAAGTAGAATCCTCACTGATTAAAAAAACGTTGGTGATCCAGCTCATTATACGGGTCAATGACAAGTCCACGCACCCCATGTCTTAAAACTGCAGCTTTGGCTAGCATAAGGACCCAATTAATAGATGGAATGGAATCATCATCACACCTGCTCTATCAACCAAAAAACTCAGCGAGAATAACAAAAAGCAAGTGAGATTTATGAAGCGGTTCTGTAATCCGAAATACTACATAAAATATTTCAATATAACTCACCGAATAATATGAAATGTATCATTAAGCCACTTCTTCCCTTTTTCCAATTCTAGAAGGCTCATTCGTTCAACAGATTCTCCGTTTCTAAATGCTCACAAAGGTACAAAAAAGCTTACTAAATAACTGGTGTGCTGAAACTGCTGGAAAGTATGCCAGTCAACCGCTAATCAGACTAGGCCAAAAAAAAGATAGAATAATTTAACTATGCCAATAGAACATAAACAAAGGAGGATGACAGTGTCAAGTGGTGTTTACATATTCATAGATCTTGACGATTTCTAGATGGTTGCAAGAAATTAAATAGAAATTGCTTGGTTCTAAAATACTGATGATAAACTGAAACTGGAAAATAAACATTATTTTTGGACTAAGTTTTTTCAAGGAAAAATATAGAAAAATGGAGGATTTAACATGCACATCATGAAATTCTTATGTATTTACAAATATAAAACAAAAATCTTCATATTTTCTGATGGACCGGACCAGCCGGTCCATCCCAGAGCAACACCGGCCCAAACTGGGCCGGTTACTGTTTACCAAAGAAGAAACCGCCCACTACTTGGGCGGTTGGCTGCAGAAGATGAAGGGAGAAACCGCCCACTTGGGCGGTTGGCCGAAGGACATGGAGAAGGAAGTTGGGCCCAACGGGCCCAACAAATGCATGAGGGAGAGTAATGTGTTTGTCATAAGGATAGTTATGATATTATGGGTATTATTATGGGAGTATAAAAAGGAGTTAGGGTTTGTTTTATGACATCTTTTGTTTGGGTGATTAGTTTTCCTCTTTTCTAGTCTAGAGTTTGGGAGAAAGCTCTTCTCGAATTGAGAGCATTGTATCCGTGAAAACTTGTAAGTCTTTTGATATTTAAGTTAACAAAGTGTTTGTGAGTGTTTTCCTTCAAGAAATCTCCACTTTTCCTACTGTTTTTGGGCTATTTTTACTGGATTCCGAAAATTACAAGTTAAGTTCCATCAGGCAACCAATAGTTGAAGTGAGTATTCAAATTTCAAAATTAAAAGTGTAACGGTACTATTTCTTCAAAATTAAATGAATAAATTCATATAGATTAAATATACCATTGTTATAAGTTCATTTAGATCATCCCTACAATAGAAAGGATTGATAATGTGAAATGATGATATAATCTTCTTGTGAGGCTTTAATTATTTATCTCGTCTCATATTGTCATTTTGAAAAGATAATAAATGATATAGAAAATACAAATAAAATAAATTACCAAAAAAATGTTTGCATGTTCATGATGGTTGATGGAGTTCATCCCCCCATAAAAAACTAACTAGGGATGCTAATATACCAGCACATAAAATAATTGCAACTTCACAACTCTGGAAAAAAATATTGTTATTAAAGAACCAGTCAATGGTACAGCTAATGTTATGATGGATGTATTTTGTAACAATGAAACAGAAAAGATATTGTATGATATGGTCACCTGCTAATTCATTTTATTATTGAACTAATGAATGCTTCAAAAACAATTATATTGATTTTGATATTGATTCATCTATTTGAATAATATAATACTAAGCATGCATGTTATTTTCAAAGTTCTTTTATATCATTGTATATTATTGTAACTTAGATATGTGTTTTTGAATATTTCTTTTAAATTTTTTATTTAAGTAGCGGTGCTTAAATTTTCATTGACCATATGTTTCTACCTTAGTAATCCAAGTTTATGAGTCTGACCGTGACAAAAGTGGTATCAACAACAAGGTTAGATTAAATAGTACTAATCATAATGAAACAGCCATTAAGAGGATTAATAAAATTTATGCAGGTTGATAACATTATTTTAATTCTAATTAAATAATATTGTAATATTATTTTATATATCTCAAGCCCTAGATAACAAAGATTAAGATGAAGTAAGACGTGAAAATATATAGGGCGATGGAATACCACCAAATGTTAATATTAATAGTAATGCTCTCATTCAAATGATGATAGCAGTGCCGTAAATGATCCAAAATTCAAAATCCCAACCTAGTGGAAAAAACAATATCATCTCAATGGACAAATACTTGAAGTTATTCTAGGATATGCAACCAGCATTATTTTGAGGAGTTGAAGTAACGATTGAAATAGAACATTGCCTCATTCATATTAAGAAGATATTAAATGGCGTGTTTTGTCCCGATGAGAGGAAGGTATCGCTTGCTATTTTGCATTGGATGAAAAAGCAAATAGGTGGTGAAGAGGGCAACATCAAAATGAGTTTGAAGACCCAACCAGTGTACAAATTTAATGGAATTTTGCGGAAATGAGAAGGCAAATACAATATATGTTTACGAGTCACTAAGTTTCAAATTTATGAAGTTAGTGCAAAAAAGATAGATCCATGATGCAATAAAGGGTAGAGTTTATGACACTATCAAGCTATACGCCACAGCAAATCTATAAAGGAAAAGAAAAGTGTCAGATTTTTATCAAGACAGAGATGAGAACAAAGAGCAGTTATTTCTTTTAAAGATCACTAATTATTCTGTGGAGGAGAGAGCCAGGAGAGTCAAACAAGATTTCCAGGGTGCCCAGAGGAGGCATGACTTCAAAAATAAGGAAAAATGCTGAAGGAATACAAAGTTCATGGATTTGTCAGTTTGGATAGGTTTTTCAATCTAGAAATTCTGCTTGGATGGGCAAAGACCTTATGCTTGGGATAATAGTCCACCTCGGGCATGATACATACCGCCTCCAAGCTACACACTTCCAAACAAAATGTGCATGAAAGAGAAGTGGCTATGGCCATGCCTACTAGCCCGGATAGCAATGTGGCATGACTATTGGGAAGATCACCCCCGCTTGGCCAAATGATTCATAATGTTTAGGTTAATGGTTTATTTGAAAAATGAAAGACTTCAACTTTTCTGTTGATTTTGTTGCCTTTAATGTTAACGTTATTATTAGTTTCCTTCTAACATATTCATTTTAGTCTTTTAGAACTGTTAATCTCGCCAAGCCATGATATTAACATATCTGCATGTGTGTAGTGTTTTAACCAGATCACTGTAACTAGGTGTTGTCTAACGAAACTTTTTGCTAATTACTTTTGACTTGATATATTCCGGCATCATTTGGTCTTTCTAATGATAATGGTAATTTATTATAATCACTGTATCTTTATTCTCGAATGTAATTATGTAAATATGTGCGACAGATCAAAAACTTAATTTGGAAGTATAAATGATGTAGGACATCTTAGACTTGAGCATTTTTTCATGCAGGTCCACAATGAAATGCACGAAACTATGCAAGATAACACAAATTCACAGATTCCGTTGGAACTTCTAGTTTGGACAATTATTTACTACTTCGATGAAGCCAGAAACATAGAGAAATCTAATGTAACTAGGTGTTGTGACTGTTGTCTTAAGTAACTTCTTGCTAATTACTTTTTTCTACATAAAACAAAAATAGTATAACTGATATATTCCTGCATCATTTGGTCTCTTTAATGCTAATGGTATTTTTTTATTATCACTGTATCTTTATTCTCAATATGTGCGACAGATCAAAAACTTAATTTGGAAGTATAAATGATGCAGGACGTCTTAAACTTGAGGATTTGAAAATGCAGGTCCACAATGAAATGCACGAAACCATGCAAGATAACACAAATTAGCAGAGTTCAGTTAGAACTACAAGTTTGGACAATTATTTACTACTTAGATGAAGCCAGAAACATAGAGAAATCTAATGTAGACAGTAATTTTAAAGCCTTCCAAAAAAATAACGCTTAGGAATTTAGAATTACGAAAACATATACTTAATTCAACAAAATGGTATCTAATTTGGATAAATTTGATCACTAACGCAAAATAATAACAAATAAAAAGAAAAAATATAGAAAGAAAAAAGTAACCAAATCAAATTAATCAGTCCACGTGCTTTTACAATGAGAGAATTTCTCCCAAAAATTTTTGTTCTCTGATGGGGACATCAAATCATCATGGAAAGTTTACCAGCGACGTGGCCGCCAATCTACGACCACGATCGAGTCGTTATATTTTTGAGTCGATGTATTTTATTTTATGCATTTTATTATTTGCTTATGTGTGTTTATTTATTTCCCTTGGTACCCCTTTGTATGTGAGTGGTCATGTGTAAGCCTAAGGGCATTTGTGTCATGTCATTTAGAGTCTTGTTGTATGAGGTTATTTAAAAGCCCCTTTGTTTTATTTTGAGATAATGAAGGATTGCTTATGATATTTTTCTCTTGAAAGAATTTGTGAGAGCTTGTGAGTTCTAATGGAGAGAGCTTCCTAGAAGAGGAAGGAGATGGCACAATACCCACCAACTTAGATAAGTCGGGTTCGTGGTTCCTTCTCGTATCCCCTTTATTTTCTTCTCCTATCTCTTTCCCTCCAAACCCCTAACCGTCGGTTTCCTCCACCTCACCCGATCCCTCATCCTCCTCCCCAAATCCCCACGGCATCACCTTGACCGAACCCCTACCCCCACAGCCGCCGACCATAGTTACATAGCCGCCGGCTATACTCCATCTCTCTTTCCCTTAGAGTTTCCAAGTTGGGATGAGGACTACTTTAGGATAATTTTGAAATTCAAAATTCATTGAAATTTGAATTCAAATTCTTTCCTAATTTAGCTTCTTTATTTAGGAAAGTTTCTTAATTCATCCTATTGAATTTAAAATTTAAATTGGATGAAGCATTAAACTTTCATAACTCCTACATCCAAAATAGTCATCCTAATTAATTGCCCTCCACCTCATCCTTGGATTCTAATTGCCGTCAGCCCCCATGTGTGGGCAAGTTGGGATTTATTCCTTAATTACCACATAAATACGTTTGGGAATAAATTCAAATTACTTCTGCCTCTTAGCCGATTTTTCCAAAGACTCTAACCTATTTATTTCTTTCCTATTTCCACTCTTTATTTTGGAAAGAATGTTCCTGGCACCACCTATTTGCTGCCGCCCAAACCCTTACCGTTTCCCCTCTTCCTCCTAAAATCTCTCCCCCTTCACTAAGCCCCCTCTTGATTTTCCTGCATACGTCTTTTTTCATTTGGCTTTCCTCTCCTCCTTAGAGAAATCTGAGAT